GGGGGGGGGGGGGGGGCACTGATTGGTGGGCCTGATGGATAGAGTTATAACTCAGCCACTAGTGAGTTAGAGCAAAACAACAAAAGAAATCTGACGCTCCTATGTTGAACAGTTTCTGAGTTATAAGCATTTTTGCATGTCCAGACACCCCCTCTTTGGATGGAGCCCCCTCCTCAAATATGGGGTCTATCGTAAAACCGTTGGCTGGCGCAGTGTAGGTCGRACTCATCTACAGTCCTGCCAAATTTCATGTTGGTTGGTGCAGCCGTTTTTGTGCTTTTGTTGACCAAAATCACTGAAAAAAACCCAGTATGAAAACAATATGACTCCCACTTACGCTTCATGTGCGGTGGTCATAATAAGAAGGTGTGTCCAAACTTTTGGTCTGTAGCCTACTGTACATGGTACAGACCTGGTACCTACTAGACAAGCAGCACCAGGAGCACAATCTGGCATGCACCAGGTGTACATATGCTGTAAATACTTGAAAGTACAAATACAGAATAACAAGTCCCTTTATAGTAGATCTTTCCCTATGTACATACTCCATATGTACATGGGATGCACCCTGTCAGGGTCATTTAGCAATATAGGCAAATGCTGAAGGTGCTGTCCATTTAGGGGGTACCACAAATGGGGGACATTTTTTACATATATTATGTAACCTTTTTCAGCGTACTGTTTTTTTTCCCTGTAGAATAATCACTGATTACTCATGAAAGTAACCAAGATAATGATATTGGAAGTTTCAATTATAAGGTTCAGGTTAAAGTCTGGTTTTATTTTGTTGATTTTTTATTTATTTATTTATTTTAGAATTTTGTAAAATGCTCTTCAAATGGCTGAAAACTGCATCGTTTTCAATAGATCTTGTACATTTTTTTCTTTTTTTGGTGAATTATATCCATGGAACCCCCCCAGAACTGCTTCACACCACAGTAGCTTGTTAACATGAAGAGGTGTTCCTTATTGATGTCAGCAGATGTTGGCAGGTGAGATAGACATCTATGTAGTTTCAAATTAAACTGCTGATTGTTTTAATTGGACATGTTTTATAAGATAAATAAGATAAAAATATGTCAAAGATAAAACTATTTGATTTGGTATATGAGTGTTTTGTAAATTGACAGTGAGATGTAAAAACTGCCACCTGAGGGCTCCAAATTGACTAGGGCCTGCCCTTCACCCAATAGCTACCCAATACTGGTAGCTATGTTCCAGGTACTACTACCTGCAACAAACCAAGTGCCCACCAGTGAAGTACCTGGTGTGTACTCAGTAACTAGTACAGTGTAAGAAATTAGCCTACTTTACATTGGGCCCTGTAAGAATACCTTGTAGGCTATAGGTATGGACAACCAGATAAACRCATAAAGAACATGGTTTCCACTTGCTATTTTCAGCTCCGTAATATCTCTAAACTCCGGCCCCAGCTGTCCACTTCAGATTTGGAAATGGTAATTCATGCCTTCATTTCTACCCGCTTAGACTAATGTAATAGCTTGTTCACCTGTCTTAACCAGAAATAGTTAAATCGTCTTCAGCTTGTCCAAAACTCGGCAGCAAGACTCCTAACTCGAACCTCCAAATTCACCCACATCTCCCCGATCCCAGCAGAACTTCGCTGGCTTCTGGTTCAATTCAGAATCCGGTTCAAAATCCTGGTCCTCACCTTCAGAGCTCTTCATGGCCAAGCCCCAGAATACATTAAAAGTCTCATTTCCCCTTACAACCCCAGGCGAGACCTCCGCTCACAGGATCAACATCTCCTTATGGTTCCCCTCACTCGCTTTAAGACCCGTGGTGACCGTGCCTTCTCCTCTGTGGCCCCCAGGCTCTGGAATGAACTCCCATTTAATCCGCGCTTGATTAATAACATTGTCTCTTTCAAGACGCTCCTAAAAACTCACTTTTTCTCTCAAGTGTTTAGCTAACCATTTCACCATCACTGCCAGCCTACCTCCATTGTGAATGCTTGACAGTCTGTGTTTTCTTTATTATTGAACTTACGCCATATTTTCTCTCCCGCCTTCATAACGTTTTTGTGCATTACTGTATATTTTGCCCAGCAATGACCTTGTGTTTGATTTACAATTTTAGAAATTAATTCTTGATTTGATGTTTCAATTATCGTTGCTTATGTGTAATTACGTTTTTCTGTTTCATTTTATTCTTTCCACCATTTCTATACTGTTAATGATTGTACAGCACCTTGTGAATGTATTTCTTTAAATAAAACTTTACTTATGTCCTGATGCATCTCAGTAATCCAGGTAAAAAATCAAAAGGAAAAAAATGTATAGGTCCTCTGGACGGGTTCTTCTTTAATGAAACGTTTTGTCTCTCTTCCAAGAGACTTCTTCAGTCTGAGAGTTTCAGGCAAAATTCAGGCTTTTTGAGTCCTGCCTCCATGTGACTGATACTCACATCACATGGCTATCATTCACACCTAATTATTACTTATTGTTAACAGGGGTTGGAGTGATACTGCCAATGGCAGCGCTGTAGGAGGGGGACAACTGAAAACGGAGGCCTCCACCTCTGTTTAATGATGGACGGCCTTTCTTCACAAAAATGGCTTCTTTTACTCCTCTCTCAAACCAACGTTCCTCTCTATCAAGAATGAGAACATCCTCATCTCTGAAAGAGTGACCGCTGGCCTGTGAATGAGTGAAAACTGCAGAGTTCTGGCCATTAGATGTAGCTCGTCTGTGTTGGGACATTCTTTTGAACAGTGGYTGCTTTGTTTCCCCGATGTATAACTGGTCGCAGTCCTCCTGGCACTTAACAGCATATACAACATTGCTCTGTTTGTGCCAGGGCACCGGATCTTTGGGGTGAACCAGCCTTTGCCGTAATGTATTTTGGGGTTTGAAAGCTACTGGGACATCATGTTTAGAAAATAAACGTCTCAGTTTCTCCTTGTGAGGTTCGGCCAGGAACGAAGCCAGGGTGCAGGCAGGCTTTCAAAGTTTAACAAAAAGTTTTAATAATAAACAACAAAAAGAGAGCTGCAGGCAGCAAACTTACAATAACTGTAGATCAGCACGAGGGGAACAAAGCTCAGGGAATCAGGACCGACACAACACATGAAACAATCAACAATGATCCGACAAAAGACAGAGACAGGACAGGGCTTAAATACACAGAAAACTAATTACTGAAACACAAAACACCTGAGGAGAAACACGAGGGTGACAATCAGACAGACAGGGAGCAGCTGAGCTGTGACACACTGGGGAACACTGAAAAACACTAGAAAACTAAGAAAATAAACACAGATCGTGACACTCCTTTACTAACTTTACTTACTTACTTACCAGGTAACAAAGAAAATATTTACCCAGTATGCAATTTTATTATTGCATGTTCCAGACAAATAGTGGCCTATTTACAGGTACTTGCCTGTATGTTCCAGGCAGGCCTAATTGTACCGTACTAACAGGATATGTAGTACCCACCTATAGGCTAGAGACACTGTAGCTACTTACCTGGAACATGCATTAAAAGCACCAAGGAAGAACCAGGTGTACTACCTGCTAATATCTACCTGGAACAAACCAGGTAAGTAGCTAAGCTGAATGTATTCGGTCAACAGAATGAATCTATGTTTGACATCGATGGGCTGAGTCATAATTTAGTGATGAACTGAACTGCTGGTAAAACTTGACTCATGAATATTTATGTTGTCTCTCCTCACACAGGACCAGTGGCTGTTGAAGGRAACTCCGAACCCGCCCATTTAGTGCTTATTGATCCGCTCTCCCGCTGGCCAGTGTGTGACAGCAGACACATCGGTTCGGTTCGGGTTATGGCGGCGTAGCAGCACCGACACGGAATGGTTCTTCGTCTTTCCGCGGGAATTTGCGAGTCGTGTACCGGCGGGAGGGCGCTCGGCTGACGGGGGATCATACATGGCGATGGAGGAGGAGGAGGAGAAGAAGAAGACGGAGGAGCTCTCTGCGGCGAAAATCCCWGCCGACAGCAAGAAAGGAGGGGACGGCGGAGAGAGCGGGGCTTGCATCGACAGGCAGCCGGACATGGTGGTCCGTCAGGTGGGGCCGAGCCTGACTGCGGGTCGCGGCAGCCGCAGTGGTCCCGGAGCCCACTCTGCGACGGGGATCCGAGTGTTGAAGGCAGGTTCTGAAACCGCTCGGGTCCGGGCTGTGATTATTATACAGGGAGATGCGTGAAACGGGACAAAGTGCAGGATTTCTAACGCATCCTTGCAGTGTTATGTAACACCGGTAATAATAATAAGAGCTGATTGGCATTCAGTGAGGGCTGGACCAGAGGCAGCTGAACAGACCAAACAAACACACACAAACACACACAGCTTTATTATGAGGGCCTACAGCTGCACAGATTTCTGACATTTTACAGAAAAACATCTGTAACAACATGCACATGTAACCTCTGCCTATTCATTGTATCCAGGGGTGTGAGCACATCAAAATGTGCAGCAAACTGGTAAACAGGATGGTGAAACTTAACCCTGAGGGACAATTCACTGTAGCCTATTTTATTACATAGACAATAAAAAAAAAACCAACAAAACATTTAAAGCTGTCATTGGTTAATTGATTTAATGTTGTAAAGTTTGAACTAACATATGTTTATTTTACAAATCAAGATTTTTCTCACAGTAACATGGCTTAAAACAGGTTTGCAACCTGTGGCTCTGCAGTGGCTCCTTGTAACTTTAAAGAAAAAAAAAGACATATACTTCAGCAGTGTTGTAGGGTATTTAAAATGAGAGTATGCACCTGTAATATCAGCCCAATATGGCTTTTTAAACATCAAAAAATTGTGTTGCAGAGCAGTACCCAAGTACTTCATTTAGGTAAAAAAATAGTTTTGTTCATAAATTCTCAAAAAAA